TATGATTGTGAAAGATAAAAGGAGAGAAAGCTGGCCTGGAAGGGACGCATCTATACTAGTCTGTTTTTTTATTACTGTAACAAAATACCTGAAATTGAGTGACTTATAAAGTGAAAAAAAAAGGTATCTGGTTGCAATTCTGGAGGTTCAAAAGCATGCTACATAGCCTCTGCTTGACTCTAGTCAGGATCTCATGGACGATGACACCACAATGTTGAGCAAAAGAGATCACATAGAACCAAAAGACCAGAAGGGACCAGGTTTTCTCTTTTTATAACAACCCATTTTCTTGGAAACTAACCTACTCCTATCAAACTGGTCCCAAATCCACAAGACAGCATTAATCCTCTCTGAGTGGAGCTCCTGTGACCTCATCTTCTGCAAGGTCCCTCACCTTTTAAAGGTCTCATCACTTCTCAACACAGCCACACTGGAGGCAAGTCTGCCATATGTGATGTTCTAGGAACAAACCATGTCCACACCAGAGCAGCACTGGACTCCAATGCAAAGCTGAAAATAGTCTAGACCACCCCAGGGGAGAGCTCGAGACCGGAGCCTACCATGCATTGCACAGGTCCTACGTAGGACCGATTCATCCCCAGGACCCCTGAGAAAGCATCACCCCGCTCCAAAGCTGCCCCGAGTCCCAGAGGTGCAGCAGCTGGAAGATGTCAGTTCACCACTCCTGATGGCTGAACGCGTCTTTTCTTAGAGAGAGCTATGCCGTGCACCTCTGGCTGACATTTGGATCCAGTCTGAATCGCGATGTCATTCCGGTGGAGGCAGAGCCTCAGGAGGGCCTGCGTGGACACACAGGAGAAGGAGAGAGAGCTACCAAGTGTCCTTCTGGAGCAGGGAGTCCGTAAGGCTGGAGCTGAAACACTACACCAAGAAGAGCTGAGTAGAGCAGTCACATGTCACTCAGTGGCAAGGCACGGCCTAAATAAGGTGTCATTAGGCAATGAGATCCCCGAGTGAACACCATGGAGTGACCTTATAAAACCCCGATGGGAGCACCTTGGAAACGTCGGGCACCTAATGCTCCTAAGTCACAGACCTAGACAGCACCTTAGGACTCGGGACACTCGGCAACTGGAACGTAATGTAATACTCGTGTGTCCTTCCATTTTCTCTTTTTAAACCCCTTTTCCCTTCCTTTCCTCTCCCTCTCTCCCTCCTTGTTTGCCTTCCCATTTGAACACGTTTTTCCTGGTATCTAGTCTGCCTGATGCTCTTACTCTTTGGGTTTCTCACACAAGAGCATGTGATACTTAAACCTAAGTGTCCGACTCATTTCACTTACGATTATGGTCTCAAGGTGCATTCATTTTCCGACATGTGACTCAAGTCTATCCATCTTTATGGTAGAATAGTACTCTATTGTATATAAGAACCCCATTTTCTTTATCCATTTATCTTTTGATGGTCATATGGGCTCTTTCCAAGATTTACCTATTATAAATTGTGCTGCTATAAACATGGATATGCATTTTTTAGATGGGGTCTTGCTGTATGGCCCAGGCTGGTCTTGAACTCTTGGACTCAAGTGATCTTCCTCATCCCCCAGCCTCCTAGTAGTAGCTGGGGCTACATGCCCAAGCCCAATTTCTTTTCTTTTCTTTCTTTCTTTCTTTCTTTCTTTCTTTCTTTCTTTCTTTCTTCTTTCTGTACTCAGGATTGAACCCAGAGTTTTTGTACTGAACTTCATTCTCAGCCCATTTTATTTTATTTACTTTTTAATTTTTTTTTGAGGCAGGTTCTTACTAAATTGAATTTGCAATCCTCCTGCCTCAGCCACCCACTGTTCTGAGATTGCAAGCATGCGCTGCCATGCCTGATCAGCAGTTTTCTTTACAAAACTTTACAACCGCTAGACTTCTTAAACTATGGGACTGGATCCTTTTGAGCCTGAAAATCAAATTCAGACTATAGATGTAGCTCAGTGTACAGCATTTGCCTAGAATGCCAGAGGTCCAGGGTTTGATCTCCACCCCTCACCCCGTACATACACAAAAATCAAATTAAAGATTATCAGGACAGGACTTTTCTCGAACACTTGTGGAGTGAAGGGGGACAGTCTGGAGCTGAGACCTGAGAAAGAGCCAGCCTAGGAGAGGCCAAGGAGCAGCCTGAGCAAAGGTTTTAGCTAAAGAAGGGAAGAGATACACAACAACTTAGTGAAGAAGGACAGCAGGTCAGAGCTGGCAGAGGCTGGCTTGAGGCTTCCTGCGGGCCACAGCAGCACAGGAGGAGGCCGAGTTTTATTTTAAGCTTGGTGGGAGATGGCTATGGGGTGGTGGTTTGAGTAAGGAAATGGCATGGTCCGTTCTCAGTTTCTTTCCCTGGTACTAAGGATTGAACTCAGCGCCTTCACTCTGACCTCCTTTCCTGGGCATATTTTATTTTTTACCTTGACAAAAGGTCTTGCTAAGTTGTCCAGGGTAGGCTTGAACATAGGATTTTCAACTGGGGATTTAGGTCAGCAGCATACATGCCTGACTGGCAAGTACAAGATCATGAGTTTGATCCCTGGTACCTAAAAAAAAGAGGAGTTCCCTGCCTCAGCCTCCCAGAGTGCTGAAATTATAGGTATGCCCCATGGCACCCACCTTACGTTTTTAATCAGTAACTGACTGCTGCACAAACTTTTGGGGAAAATACGATAACAGAATCTGACTGGGAATGGCAGTAGGGTGCTGGACAGTGAGGAAACTTGTTGGCAGGTGGTCAACACACCTTGCAAGACTGAAGGTGGACCCGGGGGTGTGAGAGATACCACAGAGGCACCCAGGCCTCAGCCCACTCCCCATCCCACAGACACTGGCTGGTCTATTTCCTCTCCTCTCTCTTTCTCACCTTGTTCAGGCCACACCGGCTTAATGGTGCTCCCGGGGATGTGACCACCATCTGGGCCTTAGCCTCAAGGTAGGGCAGGGCAGGGCCAGCCTGGAGGACCTTATGTGGTCCAGCACTGCCTCTGAGCCCTACACCCGGCTGTATCTGCTGCCTCTCAGTGCCACAGCCAGGACCTCGAACACCACCTCTGAGCAGAAGAGGCCTGAGTGGACCAGGGCATAAGCCCACAGCAACTGTCCTGGGACAGTCCCGGGCTACTAAGCCTGCATCCCAGGCTTGTTTTTAACAGTCTTGGCAACTTCTGTAAAGGGCCAGAGTATCCATATTTCAGCATCTGCAGCATCCACAGTGATTGCCTAGCATGCCCTGCCTGTGGAAGCCTAGTCAGCCACAGACAGCATAGCCAGCCCTTCACGTCTGTATCCCTGGGCTTGGGAATCAAGTGTCAAAAATACTTTTGTAGTTGGTGGGGCATGGTGATGCACGCCTGTAATCCCAGCACCCGTGAGGTTGAAGCAAGAGGATTGTGGCAAGTTCAAGGCCAGCCTGGGCTACAAAGTAAGTTCAAGGCCAGCCTGAACTGCATAGTGAAACCCTGTCTCAAAACAAACACACAAACAAACAAAAGATTCCTAGGCCTTGGAAGCCAAAATTCTGGAAGAATTCCTCAGTTTCCCCTAAAATCCACTATGCAATTTGAAAGGACAGTGGCCACATCCCGGGCCTTTGCCACGTCCCCAAGTGTTCTTTGCTTTTCAATTCTTACTTTTTATTAGTACATGTTTGTAGCACATGGTGATTCATTCCTTGTGGGGAGCTGCACGTACATGTGCATAACTCAGAGCAGTTCTTTTTCATCTGCCTCCCTTCCCTCCTCCCTCCCTCTCTTGGTCCTCTTTCTTTTTGTAAAAGATCCGTCTCCCTATTTCCTATTATCTATCTTTTGTCTTTTTCTTTATTTATATTTTGGGTTCCTCGTATAAGAGAAACCATGCAATATTTAAGCCCTTGTGTCTGATGTATTTTGCCTCTCATGATGGTCTCCCTGTGTATTCATTTCCCTATAAATGACTCAAGTTTATTTTTCTTTATGGCACAGTAGTACTTCATTGTGAAGAAACACCGCATTTTATCCATTCATCTGGTGATGGATGCACAGGCTGCTTCCAAGATTTAGCTATTATGAATTGAGCTGCTGTAAACCTGGGTATGCAGGTATCACTGTAATGTGATACCTTCAACTTTTTGGAGACCTAGAAAGGGCATAGCTGGGCCAAATGGAATGATGGAGCGTCTGTTTTTACTCTTTGAAGAATCTCCATACTGTTTTCCCACCAATGATGTAGAAGGGCTTTAAATTTAAATTCCCACCAATGATGTGGAAGGACTCCTCCCCACCGCCATGGCCACTACAGCCTTGTCAGCATTTGTTATTATTTGATTTCTTAGCCTTTCAGGAGTAAAATGGAATTTTGGTGTTGTTTTAATATATATTTCTCTAATGGCTGGAGATTTTAAACATTTTTTCATGTAGTTAGTAGCCATTTGTTCTTATTCTGAGAAGTATTATTCATTTTTGTTCTCTATTCTTTTTGATTGGGTCTTTTATCTTGGGGGTGTCTAATTTTTTTTTAGTAACTTTTTTAATTTTTATTTTTATTTTAAAGGGGGTAAAATTAGACACGACAGAACAGAACAAAATAGGGACATAAGAAAGCAATGTAAGAGATATAAATTTCAAAGTTAGATGACCTGAGATCTTCACTATCTATCATACTGTGTCTTGTTTTCTTCCAAATGGTTGTCCATGTCTTCACGTACAGAGAATTCATACAAAACAACATAGTATAAAACTGATTTGAACAGAATCAGGAAGGTGTTTTAGGTCCTCAAAACCAGACAACAGGGAAGTCACCAATGGCTGTCTCTCGTTCTCTTCAAAATAGCTGTCCATACTTTCATGTATATTGAAATTCAACAAAACAAAACAGGCAGGTGGGGAGGGGTTGCTTGGTTTCCTGGCACTCCAGGTCCCAGCATGGCACAGGTCCCAGTAAACGCCAGTGGCTCCCGTCCTGGGCCACCGTAGCCTGCCATGCTCACGGCCCCTCATGGTGGGGTGGGGGTGGGGGGCTGTTGCTTCAAGCTGTTTCTTTCTAATGAATTGACCACTTCACTGCCCAAGTTCTGAAATGGCCAACAGATCTTCGAAAGACATCTCTTTAGGCTCCTCCCTGAAACCAACAGCGTCAGGAAGCCAGCCTTGATTCAGGACCATTACTTTGTTTTTTCTTTTTTGTTTTGTTTTGTTTTTTTTTTTTTTGAATTGTGTATATATTCCTAAAATTAGTTCCCTCTCTGAGGAATAGCTGGCAAAAATTTTCCCCATTCTGTAGGTTGCTACTTAACTGTTGGTTGTTTCCTGTGAAGTATGTAAGCTTTTTAATTTGATATAATCCCAATTATTGACTTGATGCTATTTCTTGTGCACTGTGTGTTCTGTTCAGAAAATCCTTGCCTAAACACCTATGTCTTCAAGAGTTTTACCTATTGTATTTTGCAGCAGATTAAGTGTTCCTGTTTTAACATTTATGTGCTTTTTTTTAAAGACTATTTAGTCTTGCTAAGTAGTTCTGGGTGGGTTTGAACTCACTATGCAGTCCAGGCTGGCCTCAAACTTGTAATAATCCTCCTGTCTCAGCCTCTGGAGTGCAGGACTTGATCACAGGTGTGTGCTACCACCCCAGGCATTTTAATTTAGTACCTGGTGAAAGATTTGGGTTTAGATTCTATCTTTTGCATGTGGATGGAGAGTTTTCCCGGCAGCATTTGTTAAAGAGGGTATCGTTCCTCTGGTGTAAATTTTTTGGCCCCTTTGTTGAAGATCAGATAGCTGCATGTGTCTGGGGTGCTATATCCCAAGATTTCTTATCTTGGAAGACTGAGAGGGCTTGTAGGATGTCCAAGGTCACACAAATTGGGAAAAGCTCATTGAGTGGACCCCAGCCCAGGTTGAGCCCTTTGCCACATCCCAGGAGTGATCCCATGTACTCGCCTCCACCCCATCCCCACCCTCAGATTAGGAGGCCCTAACTATCTGCCAAGGAGTGTCAGGGACTCCCAGAGCAGGGCCAAGCCAGGAGGATTCCCTGTACCTGCCCTCCTCCACCACCTGCAGGATGACCAGCCCCACACAACGAGCCGTGCCTGTGAGGGCTCTGGTGAGCCATGCAAACCCCACTCCCCTGAGTGCCCGGCACTCCTGCTGTCCTCTCCCAGGCCTTTCGGGACCTGTGCTACCTGCTGCTCGCCCAGCCTACTGGGCCAGCAGCCCTTGGATGAGGAAGTGATTATGTGATGGGGCTACTGTCAGTCCCTTGCGGTAGCTGTAACATGGTAACATGAACTGGTGGCTTGTGGTGGAAATCTGTGCTCTGTCAGTCCTGGAGGCTGGAAATCTAAAAGTAAAGTGTCTGTAAGACCGCACTTCCTTGGTGGCACATGCCTGTAATCCCAGCACTGAAGCTACTGAGACAGGAGGATCGCCGTGAGTTCAAGACCAGCCTGGCCTACATTAGCAAGTTAAGGCTAGGCTGCACCACATGGTGAGACCCTGTCTCAAAAAAGAAGAAAGAAAAAGAAAATGAAACACACAATGGTGGTGGGCCAATGGCACATGGGCCCCTGTGGACACACCAGAACCCTCTGTCAGCGGACGAGCCAAGTGGCCCCAGCCAAGGTGTTAGCAGCATGCATACGAGAGCAAAGACCACATTAATTATGCATTACCACACAAAATGCAAACTTTTACCTTTCACTAAAAAGCATTTGTATCATTGAAAATGCTCTTATTGTGTTTTTCTTTTAAGACAAAAGATATTAACGTATGAGTTGTTTTTTTCTAGACTGAAACCTCAGTATTCAGGGTTAGTTGTAGTGTTGGCACTTCGTGATAAATAAATTAATTTTGGGTTGCAGTTTGGGCACTTGGTCTCTAAAATTTTCTCTGTCACTGCTCCAGAGGCTCAGGGAAGAATCCTTTCTTGTATCTCCCAACTCCTGGTGGCTCCTGGCAACCATTGGCCTGTGACATACCATTCCAGTCTCTGCATCTGTCTGCACTTAGGAAGCTGTCTCTGTGTTTTCTAGTATTCTTATAAGGACACCTTGGGATCTTTAAGTCATACACCTACAAAAATCCATTCCAAATAAGATCATTGCTATGGTTTGAATGCGTCTGCCGAAGTTCATATGTTGGAGACCTAACCCCCAAATTCATATGCTGATGGTATTTGGAGGTGGGATCTTTGGGAGATTCGTAGGGTGGGATGAGGTTACTAGGACTGGGTCTCTATGACAGGACTGTGGCTTTATAAGAAGAGATAGCTGAGCTACACATCTCTGCACGTCAAGTCCTGCACTGTGCGCTGACAGAGCACAGTGGCTCTTGCCTGGTCCCAGCACCAGGCTCTTGGGCTTTCCAGAACTGTGGGAAACGAATTTATTTTCTTTATAGTTACCAAGGCTGTGGAATTCTATTACAACAATGTAAAAGAGCTAAGATAGTCAACATTCTGAGGGTGTAAGTGGGCGTGAATCTGAGGAGATATTGTTCCGCCCACTGTAATCCTTTCTGCCTTTCCCTCCCTAGCCGCATCCCTAGCTGTGGCCCCAGTCCTTTCCCAGCAGCCTCTTCCTTTCAACCCTCTACCTCTGCCCCGTTTCCTCTCCCTCTGGTTTCCCCAGCCTCATCCTCTGGCTCTTCTCTTTCTACATGGTGACCCCCTTCCCACTCTGCACGGGGTTGACCTGCCTGAACAGGGATGCTGGCGCGTTGAAACCATGTCCCTTGCAAGACTCATTACAGCTAGGTTCTGGACGTGAACTTGGCTCTGTCCATGAGGTGAACTGACATGCATGACCAGAAGGAAGCAGGGCAGAGGCCCCCTGCCTGCAGCAGCATCCCGGGCTCCACACTCCAGATTTACAGGGTTGAGGGGGCTTCTATGGTGGCAGAGCATTCTGACCAGGCTGCAGGACTGTGGAAAGCTCACCTGATTCCCTGCTGTCTGGACTGTGACAGAGTTTCTGGGAGTGACATCATCTGTGCTGCTCATACTGACTTAGCAAAACAAGTCACAGCAGCTGCCTCAGGGCATGAGAAATACACACACACACCCGGGCAGGTGCCAGCAAGGACTGGAACCAGGGCACTCATGACTTCCTCAGGCCACATATTCTGCTGCTGACCCCATCACACACACTCAGCTCCCTGACATTCTGGCCTGCTTGTTCCTCTTCCTTCTGTTTGGATGGGAACAATTCCCAACCCAATGCAACAAGACCAGTGACTAAACTTCCATCAACAACATATCATGCAACTGATGGTGGTCCTGTAAGATTAGGTGGCCTGTTGACTGTTGCTGTCTTAGTGCATGTAAGTTCATTCTGTGACACTCACAACTGAAAAACTCAGTTGGCCAGGCATAGTGGTACATACCTATGATTGCAGTACTTGGGAGGCTGAGACAGGAGGATCACTGTGAGTTCCAGGCCATCCTGGACTACGTAAGAGAGTTCAAGGCTGGTTTGAACTACACAGGGAGACCCTGTTTTTAAAAAAACTTACTTAAAAACACATTGCTTAGAAAGAGTCCCCCCCCCCCGAAAAAAGAAGGCCGGAGGTTTAGCTCAGCTGCGTAAGTGCCTGCTTGGCAAACACAAGGTCGTGAGTTCAATTCCCGGCACCAAAAAAAAAAAAAAAAGAGTCCCAATTCTGTGGGTTTGGCTTGGTTTAGTTTTGGTGTTTTTTTGAGATAGGGTCTTTGTAATGAAGGCTGGACTCAAACTCACAGTGATCCTCCTTCCTCAGCCTCCCAAGTACTGGGATTACAGGCATATGCAACCATGCCTAGCAAGAATCCCAGTTATAAAGGGATGCATGAGAGTTTGGAGAAACTGACAAACACCAAGCAGAGCCAAATAAAATATGCATCAGCAAAATGTCAAGATGAGCCCACCTGGAGTAGAGGTTAATTCCCTGAGCTCCATCCCAGGATTTCATAAAAATAAGTGAGCTTGGGAAACCACTCGTCCCACGTTTCATGGGGTGTTGTTGCTCTGTGGCCAAAGATACTGAATATAATTTACATGCTGTTCTCAAACCCCTGGGATCAAGAGATTCTCTCATCTCAGCCTCTCAGCTAGCTGAGACCACAGACATATGCCATCAATAGCTTGCAATGTCCCTGTAATTTTGAAAGAAATAGAATCATACAGAGAAGCTCCCTCTTTTATGGTAATGGGTATTTAATCCAGTGCCTTTGCTGTGAGTTATGTCCCTTTCCCTTTTTATTTTTTATATTTTATTGTGAGACAAGGTCTTGCCCAATCAGTAAGTTGCCCAGACTGAGCTCAAACTTGTGATCCTCCTGCCTCAGCTCCCAGAATGCTGCTCTTATAGGCACACCCCACCACCCCTGGATCCGAGGATAGCCCTTGAGCGTGGATTATTTATTAATCTGCATAATACATTTGAGATTCACTGATGTTTTTGCAAATACCAGCCCCTCATTCCTTTTTATTGCCAGAGAATATTTACGTCATTGCATGGATGTACCACGTTTTGTTCATCCATTAATCACTTAATGAACATTTGGGTTGTTTTCATTTTGAACAAAACTGCTGGGAGTATAGGCATGCTTTCATTTTTCTTGGATAAATGCCTAGGAGTGGACTGATTGGATATATGAGAAGGGTATATTTTGCCACCTAAGAGAGTACCAGATCTTTCCAAGTGACTGTGCCATTTCACGTGCTCACAAGTAATGTCTCAGAGTCCCACTGTCCTATGTCGTCACCAATACTTGGTGTTACCTTTCTGCCCACGTGGATAGTCATGAGCAGTCACTCAGGATGTGAAGAGGAGGCTCGTGGTGGCTGAGTTTGCATCTCCCTAAGGATGGGGACTCGGAACATCTTTCTACATGCTTAGTAACATCTCTTTCTTCTTGGGAAAAGCAACTACTCAAACCTTCTGCTCATTTGGACGGAGTTGTTTGTCTTCTTGTTGTTGAGTTGTGAACTCTGGGTTCTGTTTTGCTGAGTGCAGTGTACGGACTAAACCAGAGCAGAGCAGTCTGTACAGAGGGGAAGCTAAGCCTGCTGCCAACGTCCTTTCCCACCCGGGCTCCTTGGCCCCTGTGCACCTGCCTCGACAGTCTCCAAGCTGATTGGGTCTTCCAGGGGAAAGAGCCAGCCTGGCCCTGCGCAGCCTTA